TGACCGTTAATTCTTTAGCATTTTACCTATATCTTCTCATGGGAAGCTGAGTGGAAGCAATGTTCCCCAATGAGCGCAGCGATGTTGGTGCACAGTTTAAACAAAAAAAAAAAAAAAAAAGAATTAAAAAAAAAAAAAATGTTTTGATTAATTATAAATGCCAAGTCGTGACCAGATTACTGACCGTTAATTCTTTAGCATTTTACCTATATCTTCTCAGGGGAAGCTGAGTGGAAGCAATGTTCCCCAATGAGCGCAGCGATGTTGGTGCACAGTTTAAACAAAAAAAAAAAAAGAAAGTAATTAAAAAAAAAAAAATAGGGTCAGGCAGTAAATTTAATAAATTTAAAAAATTCAACGTTTTAACTATTATTTTCATTTCACTTTTATTTTTACTTACAATTCAATTATTAAACCAATAAAAATAGATGCTATCAGCCTAACTGTGACTGTGAGTCGGTCACACTCACACTTCTTTTAATTTAAATTTTGCAGCCCGTCTGATTTGTAAAAAAATATAATTCGTTGTTGATTTAATTTAATTAATTATCATAAAATTTACTTTCTTGGATACCGATACCGTGTGTAACAAAATACCTTCATTTGACGGTAATTTTTACCCTTAAAAATTAAACGCCATAACGTGTAATATTTAAATACTTTTAGGCACTAAGCAGTTAACTTATAACTTCTAAGTAAGTAAGGTCAATCATGCAACCGTTTCTTTGATTTATTTTGTAATTTTCTTATCGGTATTGACATGAGATCCTTGACTAAATTATTATTGGTACTAAGAATAAGTTAATCACATTTTAGTTAAAGGCTTAAAATATAGTGATGTTTTAAGATGTAGTTTGTTGGGGTATCTTATTTGTTTAGCTGCTGAGCTCCTCTCTTCTGTTTCGCATCTTTACTGCTAGGTCGTCTAGGTCAACCTGAATTTAACCCAGTAAAATGTGTGTCATTTGTGTGTGATCGATTTCATGTAGAAGTATCGTAGTCACAAACATCTAGTTTTAGTAACAAAACATAATGCTGAAAAATATAGTGATCGGCAAATTTCAAAATAATTTATTTATTACAAGAAATAGCCGTCTTATTAAAATTAATATTAAAACTACAACCCAGTATTTGTTAAAGACCAGCTCGAAGTCTACAAGAACTGCAAAAGAAATGACCAATCAAATGTACACAACGGCAATTTATTCAAAATGTTGTTGCTAAAAGTAGAGCTTTAACCTTTTAACGTGAAAGATTGGGATTATTTTGCCAGGTCGTTTAAGACATAGTTCAGTAATCATATGGCCAATATTTAAAATAAACTACATTGTAACTTTTATGTTCTTATTTATTATTTTCAAATTGTACTGTTAGATACGTTATTTGAAAAAATATATTCATAGAAATAATTAGTCACACACAGTTACACTGCGTAGGAATTCACAAATCTTATGTTCTCCAAGCCTTGACCTATTTACCAAGACCAAGTTCAGCTGTAAATGGTGTTGATGGCGTAGACAGACGTACTGCGTGAGGCCTATTCTTTGAAAGTGATAATTAACTACTTGTTTATACAGTATTTGCTTTCAAATAATGTAAAGGTGAGATTATGCTACATTTTTACTAATTCATGGATTAACTCCGCTTATCCAAGCGGTTTTCATTGACGTTTTTATTTCCTAATGTGATACCGATATCGGGGATGTCCTGAACGGGTCGACTTGTTGAACAACAAAACCTGTGCATAGATAATGAGCTAGCCTGGATATGGGTACCGGGTATGTTTCATAAAATCTGAAAAGGAGTTGACACAAAAGTTTCTTATAAGTTATCAGGATTGTAATAACAACAAATAGCTTCAGTTTTATTTATTTGGATTGATCACTAGTAAACAGCACGCTAGTTAAAGAGACTAACATGAGGGCAGATTTGACACGTGAGCCGAACATCTAGTACAAAATCGCGTGCCCTTTTTGGCCTTGATAAAGTATTTAGTATGTATAACAGGGACGTGCTCTTACGTTTGGCAGTTGTTGGATGGACGGATATATTGTTTGATTTTATTTAAGATAAATGAATGTAGCCTTAAGGTACCCAAGTAAATTTCAACACCATTCAATGTTGTTTGCATAATTGTACTAAAACAACCGGTGTGGTGTATGATCGTCTGCGAAAATGTCTGTGCCCGGCAGTTTGTTGACTGGGCTCCATATCGGCCAATCAGAGCGAGGCAAGCTACCTGACGTAAGGCCCAGTGTAGGTTTCAGTGACCCACATTTCTGTGTCCAAACCAGGCCTAGTTTGTTTTTCACTTCTTCAGTTATTGCGCGTCAATTGTTGAAGTTGTAAACTCACAGGATTCGTCATGATGGCTTCTTTAATAAACCCTTTTGTCTTACAATCCTTTCTTTCATTCAAACTTTTTTCCTTCTTTTTAACCCTTTCAAGCACATTTAAAATAGGCATACTACTTAGTAATTCAGAGGAAACACAATTAAATTATTAAATTATATAGTGTAGCTAGTGGTCTACTTACTACTCCTAGTTCTAGTCTGAAATGCCATTTAAATTTAATTAGTGTTATGTGGATGAGTAGAATGCAGGGCAGGCCTTATGAACAGATAGCCTGTAAAGCCAATTACCATAGAATTTATTTTAATAATTTTGATTTTGTTAACTTAACATTGTTTTTCTTTTCTTTTTATTTTAAAACTGGCATTTTAGGTATTAGCATTATAATTATGATTATTTTGAAAACAAGAAATATTATTTGTAAAAGGGGGGGAGGGTGTTAAGAAAATTATTACATTCATGGAGGTGCATACTGCATATGTCTGAAAATTGTTTCATTCATTGAGTTGCATTTGTCTGAAAATTATAACATTCAATGCGAAAAAGTAGGAAAGTAGGCAAGGAAAGGGAATTGGAATGTGAGAAATAACACCTTTGTTACACTAAAAAAAAGTGGAGTTTGTACATCATTATAGTAGTATATTTTTATTTTTACTAATTGGTTTTCGCTTTAATTTGATTTTTAAAAATGCTTTAAATGTTATTAAACTTGTGGAAGAAGCGCACACATTTTTAAATAGGACCAGATACAAAGGTTTCATGGACATAAAGATACAGGAAAGGAATGTGCAGAAACTATTGATGTTGAGTCAGACTCTCACAACAAAGTTACCAGCCTGTCACAAGAAAAGGCAGTTAAATAATGTATCAAAACTTTTGAAAATCCTGTTATTTGAAGCCTGTTATTGTGTTGAAAAGCTCATCATATTTGATACTCCTATTTATTCTTTGACTCAATATTTTGAGCAAATGAAAAAACATAGAAACAATTTTTAAAGGATTATAAACATTCTCTCATTACAAACTGTTGAAAAATTGTTAGGATTTTAAAAATGTATTATCAAATATCACAAACATTGATGAATTGGAATTGTTAGAGAAATATTTATATTTTACATAGGCTGTAACAAATAACCACTGGATGTTCTTGTATTTTTATACTCAAATCAATGTCTGAATGCATTTCTATATATAGCTATTTCTCTTCGAATTGAGCTGACCATTCCAGTCAGCGCTGCAACTGTAGAAGATTTTCTAAACTAAAATTGATTAAAACCATTTTAAGAACATCTATGACTCATGCAATGCTTTGGCTATGCTGTTGATTGAGAATGGCATTGCCAGTCTAATAGATTTCCATCCCAAAAAGCCAGAAATTTTTTTTGTGGAATAGTATATTGTATATAGCTATAAAATGGCTTTTATTGAAACAAGGAAAAATTACAGGCTTCAAATATGCATCTACTAATGCATTTTTAAAATTTTTAAATAGCATTAATTTCAAGCAGATTAGTTTTTAAAGTTGCATTTAAAACCTAAATGATAATTTTAAGTTTTAGTTATTATGCTTGGCAGAAAAACATTTTAATTACAGAACTCTTATCTTGTGTCTTCTCTAGCAGCACTGTTTTAAATTACTAACAGTTGAAAACAACTTGAAAATTTGTAGGAGAAAGGGGCTTGACCTGGAATGAAAAGTATTACTCGTCTTTATATAGGCTTCTTAAGATGAGGGCTATTATTAAACATTGTGACTATTTAGACTCAACTTCTGGGTGTGTATAATATGTAAAATCTTTTTTAAGGAAACTAATTTTTGAACGACCAGGTTTTTAAAAACAAGTTGAACCTACTTATTTTTTAATTAGGTCTATAATTGATAGTCCAAACTACAGTATAAATAATTTTTTTTGATGACCAGAGGTTCTTATGCCAATTGTAGTAGCATATTAATTAGACCTTAAATTAGGTGGCTGGCTGTACGATCAAAATGTTTCTATTCCAAAATTGTGGATTAGAGTTCAATCTCCAGCAATAACTCTGACAAGCAACAAAAAAAACCAACAACACACCACCACCAATTCACCACCACCAACCTTGAATGGCTACCCAGTTAAGAGAAGACAAACTCTGAAATCAAACCTGGAGAAGGCAGTATGACATTGACCGTGAAAATTCAGGCAACTCGTGATATTAATCATAAAATATGGAAGGCACATGCGGAACAGTTAGATTTGAGTTAGTGATTCTTATTTAGAGATCATGGTCATTGCTCATTTACCCTCTTTATGTTGTCGGCCATCCATTAATGACGTCACAAAATTCTTACAGCTTATTATTTGTATACCAGGGGAAACCCTAATACAGCTGGAGGAACATTTTTTTATATGAATTCTTTTAGCCCTACCCCATGACTTCGCTCAGAACCTTAAAAAAACCACAATAGACCTAATGAAAATTCATTCAGGTTAAAAAATGTGTACTTCTTAGGGACAATATAATTTTCTTCTCCAGTTTTACTTAGAAATTAATCTCGTCAACTTCTTTTGTGTGGTTCAGTGTCTACTAATTTTGCTTTTCTACAATTTGATAAGGTTAAACTACATCTTCTCACAAGAATGGATGGAGATGGAGGAGAGAAAAAGGATGTCAGGCGTCCTATGAATGCATTTCTAATATTTTGCAAGAGACATCGGAGTGTTGTTAGGCAAAAAAACCCAGATATGGATAATCGTAGTGTTACTCGTCTCCTTGGTGATCTTTGGGCCAATTTAGGAGAAGAGAAATCAACATATACCAATCTAGCCAAACAGGTACTCTATTATATAAATTTCATTCATTAAATTTTGTAAGTGTTCTTTGGATGTTTCACAGATAACACAAAATATGTAAGCATTGAGAGGAAAAAAATACACATAAATCTTAATTACAGCATTAATGATCATCCTGATTATCTTTATATAAGCCAATCTGAAGGTTTTCAACCAATAGGTATCTCATGTTCTTTGATTTCAGTATAAAGATGCCTTTATGAAAGCTCATCCTAATTACAAATGGCACAGCAATGAGAAATCACATGTCTCTTCAGCTAAGTTACCAGTGAAACCCACAAATGCTTTAGTAATGAAAAGTGTTGCAGATCTTTCTCAAGAAGGTGGGATTACTCCAGGAAAATTAGCAGGTAATTAGATTTGACTTTTCATTTTTTTTGTGTGCAAAAAAAAGAATAAAAAAAACCAAAGCTTTAGCCAGAAGAGTGTGAATCAAAATGAACAGCTAGATCTATTTTTGTATTTTGCATTTAATATTTGCAAATAATTTCCATTTAACCATTTTTTTTCCCATTCAGATTTAGACAAAATGGGTGGCTTAAACTTGTTACTTATGGCTGATAAAGAAACATCACATGAAGTTAGAGCTTCTTCATCATTAGCAACAGCACCACAGTCAACCACACAACAATCAAACAATAACAAGTCTGATCAAAGTGGTTCCAGCAACAATGCACTGCTACAGTTAGCAGAGGTTGGATGAGTTGCTTTTATGTATAATTTTTATCGGACCTTATAATGTAGAACATTTTTGTTTTTTAAGCTACTTTTTCCTTTGTTAGAAATATGATTTAATAATTATTTTAAATTTAAATACATTTTTAATGTGAAAATATTCTGTATATTTGGGATGCTTAGAAATAATTTGATATTGAAAATATGTCTTTGCAGATGTGTTCAAGTGAACTTCACAGCTCGTCAGACAGACAAGGTCCATCTTCATCTTCTGCACATCTCCAAAACAGCCATTCACAGCAGCTTGCAACAAGTAAAGTGTCCAACTCAGTTGCACCATCCATAATGTTGTCCTCCTTAAACCCTTCCAGCCACCAACCGATGCCACCACCAAAGAAAAGAGCCAGACACTGGAGCTTGACCGAGACTGAAAATTCTGCTGAATCTCCTGCTAGTAACCTTACAAATGAGAATAAGCTTCATAATTGTCAAAGTAAGACAGACCTGTCACCTCTTAATTTGTCCATTTATTCTCAGAGGCTTCTGCCCCTGTCTCAAAGTGAGGATAGGTACTCATCCGTTGAAAAGTACAAAGTTGGCTCCCCAAGGAGGAGACTTTCATCATCAGCTACAGAATCGATCCCATCTCCCTCACCACCCTATGTTGATGGGGCAGAATCACCCGTATTTGCAACAGAAACTTCAGATAATCAAGCATTTTTCAACCTGTCAACATTTTCTGCTTCCAGGGATTTGAATTCAATTGTTGCTACCAAGACAGCAACAACCCCTGAATCACTGGAATCTCACAGGGCTCACCCCTTAGGCAGCATTAATGCAGGCACTCAAAGCCAAACTCAGTTACAATTAGTATCTGTTGAAGCCAGCAAAGCAATGCCTAATCCTGAAGCCATTGGGAGGCAGCAGTCTTTTTCACATGACTCTCTGCACCCTTCAAACCCTCAGTTACTAACAGATGTGCAATTCAAGGTGGATATTAAGATGGAAAAAAATAATCCAGACTTTTATCAATGGAGGGAACCCAGTAAGACAAAGTCACAGACATTGGAGTCTCCACTGATTGGACGATCTCAGATAGAGGATGCTGTTCCAAGAAATAGACCTAAGCCAGTTTCTGTTGTAGGCGAAACATTTTCCAAGATGAACAATGGCTCACCCATTCATACTTTATTTACTGAAGAACAACAAAGCTATCCAAGAAATGAAGCAGCCAATGACATTAGGCAAGCACCTTTGTCGTCTAAACTTTTACTGCAGAGTATCAAGTTTGAGCATGAACTAAAGCCCACAATTCAAGGAAAGGTGGGTCTTACATCTTCCTCATGTGAGGGAAAGAAATCTACAATTGTAAATGGTCCTGACACAAGCTCACCAAAGTTAACTTTGTCTTCTAACAATGGATCAAGTTCTGGTTGTGGGTTGTTTCAACAATTTGAGAGTTTGAAAAAACTTACCATGAATCTGGGAACTTCAGTCAGCCCAAAGTTAAGAGATCTTTATGAACCAGCTTTGAGGCTACCAATTACACCTACAAATACCAACACATTTAGTGAAGGAAAGCTCAAAAAGAAATGGGCAGAGCGCATGCTTGTTGAAGCTAAATTAGAGGAAGACCATACTCAGAGGCAAATTTTGGCTCAAGAAATTGAAAGAAATGCACAAGCATCAGGGGACTCTCAATCAAGTTCATTCAAAAATAGAAACCCCATGACAGGACAGATTCATGCTTCAGATGCAAAATTCCCATTTTCAAATAAAACTGTTGAAACCAACAGAAATGATAAGGCAGGACATGCCCATAGTTTGAAGTCAGCACCTGTCCAGAATGAATCTCAAAATGCAGTGGGCCAACATGGAAGACTTATTTTGAACCAACCTCTGGATGCAGTGAAATCTTATCAATCTCAGAACCCTTCTTTTAGTGCCAGTAGTCACCCAAAGCTGATGCTACAACTCTCCCAGGGTCAATCTCCTCAGCAGTATCGGCCTGGTCAGATATGGCACCAACGTTACTGGAATGATGTCAAGATCAAACATGGCCTTGATGCAACTAACGGACCAGATGAGCAGAAATTGTTAAGTTTTGCTCTGAATTCTGAAGTTCCTAATAAATCCCAGTCAAATCATGACAACAAACCAATACTCAAACCTATTGCTGCTTGTGGCAAGAAAATTTATGACCACATTGTTCAGCAACTCTGTAAATCAGATTTTTCTGGGGACAAGATTTCTGAAAATACTCAGCCTTGTTTGAGAAATGATTCACATAATCAGGATACTATTATAAGACCTGATGATATCAAAGTGGAAAAGCAAGAAGTTTGGTTACAGCCAGATGAGAGAAAAGATTGTAGACCTTTGACTGCTAGCAGCTTAGTGGAGAAGGTTGTAAGAGAGGTAAGAACACATTCTCTATAATTCTATGAAGAATTTAAAAAAAAAAAAGATACCATATTTTCCGGCGTATAAGACGACAGGGCGTATAAGACGACCCCCTACTTTTCCTTTTAAAATCTACGGTTTGGGCTGTACACCAGCTCTTAAGACGATCCCCGGCGTATAAGACGACCCCCCAACTTTTGAAAAGATTTTCATGGGTTAAAAAGTCATTTTATACGCCGGAAAATACGGTATGTAGTGGAAATCCATTTGACAGAATTAATGCTTTGTTGAAAGTGTTTTTTAAATTCATTGTATTTTGAGGAATTAATATTTTTCTCAGTTTGTCACCTTGTAGATACACATTGTTTGCTAATTGTTTTTATAAATTAAAAAGCATGAGTCTTTTAATGAAAAGGAAATAAACTGTTTCAGGTGTGTGGATCTCCCCCAGGCAAAGATGGCTGCACTTCCTGTAGAAAATCTGAGGGATCTAGTATTTGTGTGCCATTTATGGAGTCTATACAACAATCCCCTTGCTCTAGTAATATACCAGTGAAACAAAATGGCAATGAAATTGTCTCCCCTCAAAATCATGTAGCATGGCAGACCTACAGACAGACACCCCCCAGCCCAACTAATGGTTTGTTCTTTGTTAACAATGTTAAAACTTAAATATTTCTGCTAATTATATTGTTAACAACAATAATTTTATGAAGCAATTGTTTGCAATGAATTGAACATTTTAAATGTGATGAATTTGAATTTTTTTATATGTTGTGTAATGATATATTTTTCTCTGTACCAGATAATATCAACCAATGGCCAACTCATCCTATAGAATCAGGAGATCGCTCAGATCATGAGGATACAAGTGTCCCCCCAGTCAGGAAATCTCGCCGTGCAAACAGGGGCCAGAAGTACCAGGAACTTATAAAAGAAGGTTTTATCCAACCTTCAAGAGAGAGATTAGCAGCCAGGAATGCTGAGAGGAATGGGAGAAGTTTTGGGTATGTAACCCATTTGGAAATCTTATTTTTCATATTTTAACCCCAAAAAACCTATACAGCTGGAGCTAAAATCAGTGAATCTACAACATCCATGTCTAATTTGTTTGCCAAGGAGTCTGACGATTCAGTTATCAGATGGGAAGTTTTGTTTACCACATTTCTTATTGAAGGAAATATGTCTAGCCAACTCTGATCATTAATGCCAGAGTCAGACAAATGTTTCCAGACACGCAGATAGCTAGAAGATAAAAATCACAAACAAGTGCAAGCATGAAAGTTGTTAATCTCTGTAACTTGCTTGTAACTAAAATCAATTGCAATGCTTACCTAAGTGCAAAAAGGCCACAAGGGGATATGCTGGAAAACTTAACTCTTAGCAGCCTGTGTACATATGTTAATAAAATAGATATTCTGTTCTGTATATAAACATTTCCAGTAATGTTTTTCTCATGTTCGGTGGACTCTTCAAAGAGAATGGAGGTACCTTTACATTTCTTTATTTACTAAAAAAGGCTTGTGCATTAGTATGTAGATCTTAACCAACGCCTCCTGCCGGGGCGCCCCCACACATCCCTTTACAGATTTTTTACTTGGCAGGTTGGCAGATCTGTATATCCTCATTTCTCTATGAATATACATTTGTTAATTATATAGCAATTAGTGCTCTCTAGACACATTACTAAGCAAGAAGTAAGGAGTTTTTGAATATGCAAACAATTTCTTTTTTCTAGTAAAGCAAAGGCTTTGTCTTAACTGGAATGATGAAATCCTTAGTTTTTTTCAATATTTTTTCTTTCCCCTTGAATAGAACTAGAGATGAATATGAAAAGATGGAGTGCAAAAGGACATTGAAACGTTCAGCAAGTGAGAGGGATGCATCTTTAATTGATATTAGTGCCATCAATTCCAATGTTCATAGTGCCATTACCAAGTGTGGCAATGAAGTTGTACCAAGTGATGACAAAAGGTTCAGAAATGGGTAAGTAATATTAAGGGTTAGGATAGAAAAAACAAACTTTAAGTTAATTTGAAATACAAAGTTAGCATTGAAAAATCTTCAAATAAGTAGCAAAGAATAATTAGCATGGCCTGCTGATTGACAGGTTTGACTAATAATATTATAATTGAAGTAAATCCACAACCAGAGTTGGAAGTTCTTAACTAATTCATTTTGTATCCATTCAAGTACATCTTGGAATATTTAACATATTAATGAATAATAATTTTGATTAGTGTTGTTTTGAACAATTGTTGTTTTAACAATTGTTTTTCCCCTTTAGTTGGTGATAAGTTTAATGAAAAAAAATAAGTATTTATGCAAATAAAAAATAAGTATTTATGAAAGTTCCCACTTAATAAAACCATGTTTTCTGATTACAGAGGCTTTGACCTGGAAAGAGAAATTGAATCCTTGCCAGTCTGTTCCATAGACCAGATGGAGAAAAAAAAATCTCTTCGCCGCCGCTGTGACAGTGAAACTTTGTCTCGAACACGAAATGTGAATGAAAATGACATTGAATTATCAAATCCTTCTCCATGCAAAGCCTCCCCAGCAGTTTGCTCTTTAAAATATCAAGGTAAGGAATTTGTTGCCTCATCTTAACTATATTTAGGTTTCTTTTAGTATATGAATTGAAACAGATGAATCATAAAAGTTCAAAATAATTCCATGATACTCTCAATAATAAAGTTCAAGAGATGTTTACTTAAAGCTAGTCAGAATAAAAGTCATTTTAAGCTCATTTACTGAAAGATATAATTAAATGATGATATAGTATACCTATCATAAATGATTCTTATATAGTATACTTATCATAAATTTAACTGATAATACTGAAAATGGAAAAGATGCATTTCAAAATAGCAGGCATATTTGCTCATAATTTTAACGACCAAAGGATTTTCCCTGTGGCCCTACAGCCTCACCTGCCTCACTACTTCCTTCCACTCAGACCTAACTAATGCTTTTTTTTTCCATGCTTGGATTCCCAGCTGCTGTAGAACTTTTTAAGTTGTTTTCCCAAGTTTAAATCTTCAAGCTTCTTCTTTCAACAGATTCTGGATGTCCAGCTCCTCATATCCCCATTCCTAAAGAAAATCGCCCTTCGGAGCCATTGACAGGAAGTCGTAAGCGTAAGGCACGTAATTACTGCATCACAAGGATTTCAATGCAAGCTGAACGTAAGTAGTTTGAATGGATGTCCCACAACTTTATAAGTTGTATTATAAAACAAATCCTAAAGTATGTGGGGTTTTATACTTTTTTAATACATTTTTGGAAAAGTGTGTTTTTTAAAAGTATTTTTTTGTATTGTCTTATTCGTGATTAAATTTAAATGTGTGTGGAGAAAAAGTTTTAAATTTTGTAACAAACTTGTCGATAGACAGTTATTTATAGAAAGCCCCCTGCTTGGTTCACAAATGAATTCTTTAGATTTTTATTTAACATATAAAAAAACTGTTGGCAAGATCTGATGTAAGTAATATTTTTTTTTTTTTTTTTTGCTGGCATCCGTCTGTCACAATTGACGATGGAGTGGGCTTCGTAGGACAAAATCCACATAGCCTGGGATTATTATACTTGAAGGATTATAAGCTGGTTCCCAACAGCAAATCGCCTCTCTCCACGCCGCTGGGTAACCCAAGGGAACATCAATGGATGATACAGCTTGGCACCAGTGACGTCGCAGGAGTTGTCGGAATGTTTCATTGTATCAATGTTATCCGCCTTTCGGGACTCCATCTCCGGGTTTGATTTCAGAGTTTCCTTCTCTTAGATGAGTTGCCGTCCAAGGTTAGCGAGTCCCATCTACCCGGGGTGCTGGTGGTGTTTTTGCTCTTGCTGGAATTGAACTCCAGACCACCAACTTGAGATTTGCTCAGTTTAGACCACTCGGCCACCCAGCACCAAAGTAATATTACAGTAATATTTTAATTGATCAACTTAAACTTCGATTATTGTATATAAGTTAATTTAATAGTTGGTCTAATATGCTTTATATTTTTCTATTCATAATAATAGCTGCCTACAGGAAAGAACAGTCCATCCAAGAAACAGACAAGAAGAAAGCTGTTGTTGGTGAATCAGTAGTCATTTCTTCAGCATCAGATACAGACAAAAGTGACTACTTACCAGTGAAAGCTAAGTCCCCTGGTGCTGATAAAGGAGATGGGTCAGCCATTCTCTGTGAAGAAGTTTCTAGTAAAACTCACTCATTTGAATCAAAGCAACATACAATTAGCATACATGAGCAACAGGGAACTAAATCAGAGGTTGTGTCACATCACTCAGAATCTCTAACTAAACCTCTTTGTTTTGGATCTAATCAGTTACCGATACTGGCTCCAACTTTTGCAGAGGCAGCGTCATTGGATACTGCTGTGGCTACATCTGCTCTGCTCGTTTTGTCTTCGTTCAAGCAACATTTCACTGCAGACCCAGCCATTAAAAGTGCACTGTCTCTGAATAGGAGCTCACCAACTTCATTTTCATCCTTGTGGAATATTGGTAGATCTAATACCACAAGGCTGGTGAATCAGGGAAGTACAGAATTATCTTGTCCTTCAGTGGCCAAATCATCACCAATGTTAAGTACAGCTAAATTCTCCAATCTCACTGAGAGAACTAACTCCAATGATACACAGGCTTTTTTAGTATCAAGTTTTAAGCCCATTCCTGCTGAAGTAAGGAAGCTTTCCAAATCTGACCCTATGCAAAATCATTTTAAATTAACTCCCCAAAAGCAGAACAATTTGAAAGCTCTTCAGATTCTCAGGAACTTGGATGCTTCTGTGAACAAAAAAGACAAAAAAGAGCCCAATTCTTCTCCTGCTATGGGCAAAGTCAGACGGGGAAACACATCCAGATCTAAGCAAAGAAATGAATCTGTTCAGCAAGATAAGAAATGCATTGAGTTAATGAGGCCAGAAGTTGACATAAATGCTGGAGGATCATCTCATGTCCCATTCTCAAAAACCAATTTGGTCACTACACTTCAGTGTACCAGTGAAGTTAGGTGCCATGAGAAACTTCAGACTTTATCTAAGTCTCAAGATAAAACAAACAATCACATCTTCCAGTTAGCATCTTTGAAAAGTCCTAGCCTTGATGGCCAAAACACATTTCTTTCTAATCATATGGCTAGTTCCTCAGCTGGAGTAACTGAAAAGGTCCAGGGCTCTGGTATAAAAACTAATTCATCTTCTAGTGTTGAGCCTACCTCTGGAGCATTTTGCACTCAACAGCCGTTCAAAAGTGAACTCATATCAGCTTTAGGAACCCATATGGGCCTGATACAGACATTGATGTCAAAAACAGCGACACCTAGTAAATCGGAAGCGGCACTTTCAGTGCTGTGCTCAGAATCAAAACTGCAGCTTCCAGCAACCAATTCTACACCAGGCACTGTCAGAACTATATTGCAGCAAGATGTTGCATCTGCTGACAGCACTATGGTCTGCCCAGCTGCTGCATCCAGTTGCTCACAAGTGATATTAACAGCTCAACAAATTTTTGAACATTCTTCCTCGTTTTCTCAAATGAAGCAGAATTCACCATCAACCCAAAACTTGTCCAAAACTTCTAGTGATCCTGTGACCTTAATTTCTTCAAGTGATAATCCTTCAGTGCACACAAGTTATGCCTTTGTATGTCATGACACTACCTGTTCAACTCCCACATCTGATTCCTGTGTAACATCACCCCCATCCTCTGGTAATGGCTTCTCCACTTCATCTTCTCTGTTTTCAGTGTCCCCTGCATCTTCTGTGATTTCAAAGACTACCTCTGCTCCTTCAAATTTGAATGAAATTGTAAGCTATTCTGTGATTGGCTCCAGTGCTGTCATAGAGTCAGGATCTCCACACATGGTTGGCTCACCCCATCTACCAGAGTCGCCCTCAGTTGCTGTTGTTCAGTCATAAATAATGCATTCTGGTGTTCTTTGTGAACAAGGTGCTAAATCGGCGGCTAGTGCAAAAGTACTTTTTTTGGCTGCCTATAAATAATAAGCAGGCTTTGTTAACATTTGTTTACACTTGCCAATTTGCTTCCCAAACAAAGTATCAAACAGTCGAGGATGAAAAAGAGAGAAAAGCATTTATTTGCTTTTATTGTGAAAGAATATTGCACATTTTAAGCAGTTGTTTAGAGCAAAACTATCTTCACAGAAAAGCATTTAATTTTAATTGCTTAATATTTGGTGTTTGAACAGCGAAATGATTAAGGAGGCTAACAAAGGTGTGTAGGCAATGTATTTATCAAAACAATCTTCTTCACTTATTTATTTCTAATGTGATACCACAATTTAAAGACTATGTTGACTTATCTGTCACTCCTCTGTGTAAAAATTTCATTTCAGCTGACCATATCTGATGCACCGATACAACTTTCATTTATAGTTATTGCAGAAACATTTTTTATAATCATCTGATTTACAATTTAAAATTACTGGTGGTTTGTTATGACTGTTTTTGATTGATAATGACTACTTAGTGGATACTGTAGAAATAAATCACTTGATTTGAAATGTGATCAGACCAGTGATGCTGGCTCATGAACAGTGTATTTCTCTTGATGGTAAAGAGAATCAAGGAACCTTTCATCTTATATTATTATTTGATGGCTTATTCGTATTATGGGCCAAAAAATATACGTTTTTGTCTGCTTCTTACTATAAAGTAAATTTTAAAGAATGCGAAGGTTTAGATGATTATTTGATGTCATCTAGTTAATGGAAAGGGAAAACTAGTCTACATTTATGTGAACAACTCATAAATACATTACAATAATTGCATTTATTTTTTTCAAATGTTAAACAAGTAAAAAGCAGTGCTTTTTTTTGTTGTTGTTTGTTTAATATAACTCCCAACAGTTTAAACTTGATATAATTCAAGAAAGCAATTACAAGCACACAGTGTATTCTTAGATTTTATTGAGCATTAAATTTTTATTATGTGAGTGCCTAATTGGCCTTGACCTTTGTTTAAACTATATTAACATGTTCTTAATTTTATTCAGTGCTCAAGGTTGTTAGACATGTGGATGTTAGGTTATCTTTTAATAAATAAAGATCAAGCCTTTTTAAAATATAACCCCTTAAAAACCACAGGAACTCGAGTCTTAAAAAACCTTTGATGTTAAATTGCAAAGAGCTAACAATCTAGATTACTCTGAGAATGTATTATTATTATGTTTATGAGACAATTAATGCTGTCTTTCACATTTCCATTGTCTGTTGTTTTTGTTTAACTTATTGGTCGAGAGCGGCTGAAAACTCTTTTATGACATGTCAAAAAACAATGCAAAATTTTTAAAAAATTGACCCTTGTAAAAACATTCACATATTGCAAAATTATTTTATTTCAAAATGTTTTTAAATTATTCACTATTGTAAAGATGAATCTATTAATTTTAATGCAGTTATTTTTAATTAATGTATATATTGTCAATTTTTATTTATTCACTTGTTACTGCATCTTAACTCTGGTAAAGATTAAATTGGGATTAGTCATAAGGCATAGTTATAATGATTTCCTCTATTAGGGCCAAGATGAAGTTAGTGGGTTTTTTTTAATGTATAAAAAAGTTTTCCCTAAAAGGTTGCCAGTTTCTTTTTCATAACATATAATTTTAAATCTTCACATTACCAATAACTTAAATTATCTTGTCTACTCTGCTGTTAGCTTAATCTTCAGCATTATCAAAGAGGTGGTAAAAAGATCAACTCTTGTTAACTTTAAATGAGCCATTGCGCGTAAAAATGTACATGTCATCTCAACTCTTTACAATACTTCTGAGCCAGAGAGACGGTAGCAAGACTGAAGAAATTCTGTACAAAATATACTTTTACCTAATCTCTGGAATGAACATGTTCACGCAAACTGTAGACAAACATCATTAAGAGCATTAGCTTTCTGAAGTTATTTGAGGCATGAGCATGCTGGCAATATGAATAAACCACAGTTGATGGCTGAAGCCAAATGACTTACTTTTGGGTCAGTTTTATACAAAAAAGGCACCAAAGAAATTAATTATGCCTACTATATTTCTTTATTTCCTGATGTTATTTTTTCTAGTTTTAAGTTATGAACACGTAGAAGTAGAACAGAAATATTTGTAACATAAACAAGCAAACTTTGGTTCAAATTTTGAGTGATAGTATTTTTTAAATGCAATCAGGTATTTTTAAAAATAGTACATCATCTTAGAGCATTTTTATTTCCAATCATGAATTATTAAAAGAGACAAAAGATTTTTAACATTTAAGTTTAAGTTAGTAATTTTAATTTTTACTTGCATGTTATTTTATAAATGCAATATTTTCCATTGTAACTCCTTCATTATACATTTATATTTTCATTTTACCATTAATTTTAAATTCAAACCAGGACTTTTCATTTGTCTCTGAAATATATATATACACAAACACAACATAGGATTAATTTTTAGAAAGGTGGCCTAATTATTATAACTTAATTTTTAAAAAACCCACCTAAATCACTTATAAAAATAAGAAATTACAATAGGATGTTAAGGTTGCACATATTAAATAATTGGTAATCTGCCATTTAGCCAACTGAAGTGTATCTTTATTTTTTTACAAATAAATAGGCCCACTGAAAATTCACTGAAATTTAGATTTTGATATAGGCTTTGATACATTTGCCCCCTTACTGTCAATTTCTTTTCTTTCTGTCTGGTCGTCAGTATTTTTGTACAAAAACAAGGTGGACACCAAATAACATTTCACTTTTTTCCTCAACTGTCAAGCCTTAAATAGCTTGAACTGATATAGCCAGATAATCAACTTTTTTCGATGTTTTTGCTTGGTTATTTCCTTGCTACTATACATCTCAAAGGCACTGAAGTAATATCTCAATGGTTCTCCTTGTTACCACATGCTCAATCAACAATATTTAGCAGAGGCAGATTACTTGGTAATTGATCAATTTGATTATTTGTGCAACCTTTCTGTACTCAGCTTATTTAATAAGTGAAAATTAATTAAACTTACAATTTTTTTTTGGTGCAAGACCTATCATCTCTTTATTACCAGAATCTCATTGTGTTGAAGTTTAGTTTAAACAAATTATTTGGGAAAACAATTATAAGTCAATTTTTAACTTTTGCATCCCTCTCATACTCATAGATGAATAAATTAAGCTTCACCTTCTATATCAACATACTTTTCATGTGTGTTGTGCTACCTCTGTACTGTAAGCATTTACATAAGACATAAGTGAGCTAGAGGCTGTTGCAGAAACTCACCCCCATGCATTTATTGTATATTAAGTTTGTATATATTATTATTTGTTCTCATTCAATTGTAAATGATTATAATCTTGGCTTTTTAAAATTTTATTTTAAAGATGTAAGAACTCACTGCAGATGAAGATGACTTTCCTGCTGGTTTTATCTAACCAAGGCAACCATGCATTTGTTTTCATGTACAATTATATTTGCGTCAAGAGTATTAAGCATTTCAGTCATCTTTAAGAAAAGTAATTCTAATATTCTTCTACTTTTATATACATGCCCTTTGCTAGCTGAGAGGCTAATGTGTTTCGGATGAACAGCCGAGATGTCGTCTGTCCGATTCAGAGCCGGAAATTTTATGAGCATTTTATCGGTTTCAAAACTTTACTTTAGTTAGAAAATAAGCTTCCTTCCCCATGACTGGAGTAAAGGGATGAGTGTTTCAATTTTTTTTAAGTATGGTAACATGACAATATCTTTTTTGCTGATGTGTATTTGCTGTACCGTACATCTATGAATGGCAGTTGTGTTGAGATTTGAGTATAGTGAGATTTCTGTCAGAATTTCTAAAGATTTATGTAAAATATTAGTATCCAGGCCATTAAACTGACTAAATTGTAATGGATATGTTAAAAAAAATTATTATTTTGCACTATAGCTAATAATTTTATAATAAGTGCTCCACAATTTAAAATAATGTTGTGTTAATGTAATTAATAAAAATAAATTTTTTGGTAGAGCTTCCATTTTGCTCCAGTCATCTTTTTTCAAATGAAGTTTTAAAAAGAAATATCAAAGTAGAGAAAAACATGCAGTGTAGAATTTAAAAAATAATAATTTCAGTTCATATTATAAAGATAAATTTTGTAAGGTTTAACCCATCCATTGCCTAGTTCGATGCTTCAGTATTGAGCAACATTACAATAAAAAAATGTTTTAAAAATCCCACACACCTTCAACATGAAAAAATAAGTCTGCTGTGCATAATTAGACAACTAACCTTCCATTAAGCTCTAGCACCATAGCTTTTTTTTGTGTGTGCTGGCTTTCTAATTCCTAGCTCATTGTTTCAAGTCAAACTGTGTTGAGTCTCCTTCATTCATTTTCTAAATTACTTATGTGTAAACAATTTACTTAGCTTTAAAAGACAAAATTAACATTTAGACATTTCTACTCCATGCTTATTTGGTTTACTTACACAAATTGTGTCTTTAATTAAATACCGGTAAACTTTATCACTGTCCAGCACATTCATTTATTTGTGTCCAACCACATTCAATTATTTCCATCCTTAAAATGCATGGGTAAATGGCTTGCTATTTTTAAATAAGACCCGTCTTTTTTTAATCCATTTCTTTTCTGTCCAGGTTTATGGGATTGTAGATTATACATTTTTTCTTTCTTTCTTTTTTTTTTTTTTTTAAACCATGTTAATTTTTTTAGAGGACCTGTTCAACAGATATTTCATGCAAACTTTAAAAAAATTTTTTTTTTTTTTTTTTCTGTTTTTTGTTTTTTTATATTTTACTTTTTTTTTTTTTTTTTTTTTTTTTTTTTTTTTTTAAACCATGTTAATCTTTATAGAGGACCTGTTCAACAGATATTTC